GAATCTGAAACTGTAGAGCGGATCGTGGGCGTAGGAACCAGGGGCGCCAGGGGGGGGGGGGAGTTTTCAAAAGTGCCCTTTTTTCGTTGGCGAAGTGCCCTTCTGACTACGTGAAATCGCCGTTTGCCTCAATAGCCTTTGATTTATGATTGCATTTATTTTAGTATTTTGGTATTATATGCACTATACCTATAATTATTACAGAGCTTATACAGCCTGACAAGGACATACAGGTGTTATACTCATAATAACATGAGTATAGCAAGATAAAGAATCAACGACTTTGCCTGCTGAATATCCAGACATAATATAATTGAATAGTTATGCTCAAAAAATATATTTTCCGAATTTCATTCTTTTTCCTCATTCTCTCCTACATTTCTTACGTATATTGTATACAACTCGGCTGCGTGTTATAATATAATTGATGTCCTATCCGTGCAAGTTATGTCTACAGGGGAAATGGTAATTCCTGATCCCATCTGATATTAGAGCAGCTCAGTACGCGTCTGATTGGTTAATGGTAAAGGTAGCAACAGTGGGAGTCAAATCTTCACCTCTCTTTATTATTAGTATTATAACATGATGGAGGATTAATAGCGATAAGATCAATAATTAATGCAGTCCTGTTCAACGCCATGTGGTATTCTTATGATGAAAATAAAACCCCAGCATAATACTTTAATTGGAGCCATTTGGGTTTACGAAACACAAACAGTGCTCAATACCATATAGATAGAGCGTAATATAGTTTTTCGTTTTACCTCAAAAAACCACAACAGTTTGTGGTAAAACGAATATATATATATATATATATATATATATATATATATATATATATATATATATATATATATATATATATATACACATTAAAATGGACGTCAAGACATCTTCAGACTAACTGCAAAATTATAATGACATGGGGTGAAATAATCAAATCGTTCGCGCGCTATTGTGAAAATTGAAATTACTTCATTCATAAAATATACAAAGCATAATATTTCGTTCGTGAGCCATGACGCACATGTAGCCTATATTTAATGCATTTAGTTATCTGTGCCGAACTCACCAGACTTATTTTCCCATATAGTTTCGAAAACGCTGCAGCTGCATGTGGATGCGGAAAAACAAGTCAAAGGTATAGACACATGACAATTGTGCTAGCAGTTATTTTAGTTTTCTCGATGTATGCTCGAACTTTGCGCAATAAACGAGTTAGAAGTAGCTACACCATAATGGCAGTGTGCGTATATTGCATGGCGCACATGCCAGTTTATTATTTTTGGTAATGTCTAATGAATGCGGACTTACAGCAGCTTTATGTCATACACAACCAGCTCAAGCAATAAGGTCGATAGTTTAATTATAGTTGTTTTTGACATTTTGGCGCCCTCGCTAATTCAATATCAGAAGTGTGTACGTGTCAACAACTGAACAAAGTTTGTCAAAATTCATGAGTCGTGCCTGAATGTCAAAAATGATAGAGGTTGTCGTGTATCACGTACAATTGCTGTATAATTATTAATCGTTCGTCCACTGATAAAGTGCATGGGTTTATAAAAACGTCCACATCTAGGAAAGTAATAAACAAAGAGGTAAGAGCATGTGCCAAAAGATGAAGTACACGCGAAATTATGTCGTTAAGACTTGGGGTGTCTGTCATCACTTAATTATACTGTTCGAGAACCTCTCACTATGTAGAACGGGGACATAGGAAACACGCGCTGATGATTTCCTTTATAAACTTCCATTTATGACAATGGCTCTCTTTAGTCTGTGAAGAAATGAAACAAATATATATATATTGGCGTCTGTGCATGATTCAACTACCTGCATGAGAAACCTTTGATGTTTCGAAAACTTCGAATCTTTTCTATTTTTTACCAACATAATAATATATTCATATTAATATATTCCAAAATCAACAATAGTATTCCACAATTTTACCCCTGCAAATGCAAAGCTTTTCTTTAAATATTCAGTTTGAGGCTTTGGTAGTACAAGGCATAGTATTTCTTAATCTATAAAAATTATCTATCGGGCAGACATTTCAAAATGGTCTCTCAAATAATTTGCCATTTGGTGCCAAATTATTCAATATCTTATACATCATAGTTAATTTGTGTATGTCTCGCATTTCAGCAAGAGTTTTCCAGTTATGAGAAACAATAACGGTCCAAGAATTGACTCCTGAGGCACACCACAATTAATGGTACGTTCGCCGGATAGAACGCCATTCACATAACAGTTTTGTTTGCGATCTTGTAAATAGGATTGAAACCAGGATAAACTATTTGTATCAACCCCGTAAATGTGGAGTTTCTCGAGTAATATCTTGTGACTTATTGTATCAAATGCTTTCGCTAGATCAATATAGAGAGAGAGGCATCTTTATTACTATTAGTTTCGTACCACAAGATTTGGCACTCATATAGTACTAATAAAGATGCCTAGTGGGATTTGTTTAGTCGTGGCACTTATTTTAGCCTATATACAGTCGAACCTCTATTAAGCGGCCACCCTCGGGGATCGGCTTTGTGACCGCTTAATAGAGGTGGCCGCTAAATAATAGACCCTGGACGTAGTCAAATGTCTATTTTTAATTAAAAATCACAGAATACAATAGTGATTTTATCTTTAATTCTCAGTTTCATCTACTACAACATTTTTTCACAGGCATACATTGTGCCAACAACACGAGGCCATCACACTATCATATTTCACACTAAACCTTTTGAACAAACATTTAGGGGCTATTGTTACATAAATTTATTACTATGACACCAATATGGTTCTCATTATCTATATCTAAACCTAAAAATCCTGCAGGCTGCATGGCCGCTTAATAGAGGTAAAAGTTGACATAAAACATCATTTGGGACCGCTCTTTGGGTGGCCGCGGCCGCTTAATAGAGGTGGCCGTTTAATAGAGGGATAGTTTATAGTATTTGTATTACAAAAATTTCGGGACTTCGATTGTGGCCGTTTAATAGAGGGTGGCCGCTTAATGGAGGGCCGCTTAACTTAATAGAGGTTCGACTGTATATAACTACAGACGGTACCGTTTCGGCCTTATGGGCCTCATCAGTGTAGTGCTGATGCATGAGCAGAATGAAAGTATCTGCTATTTACAGTTACCTTTGATGTCTCACGAATGCGGGACATCAAGCATGCCAGAGCACTCAAACTGCAAGCAGTGAGCGTGCGCAATGCGTAAGCGGCAATGGCTCATCCTGTAGAGCGCTCAATATGAACTAAAATCCATAGAGCGATATCTAACTAACGGCCTTATGGGCCTCATCAGTGTGGTGCTGATGAGCAGGATGAAAGTAACTGCTATTTACAGTTACCTTTGATGCCTCACGAATGTGGGACATCAAAACCATGCCAGAGCGCAAGCGGCAATGGCTCATCCTGTAGAGCGCTCAATATGACCTAAAGGCCATGGATCGAGCGATATATATATATATATATATATATATATATATATATATATATATATATATATATATATAAATATAGTATATATATATTATATATATATATATATATAGAGAGATATATATATATATATATATATATATATATATATATATATATATATATATATATATATAAAATAGTTTGTGTTAGGTTATAAAAGCCAATGATAGAGTGCTCAATGGATAACCAGAGCATAATAGAAAGACACAAAAACTTAGCAAGCTTTGTTTGCCATATTTATTACTATACAGTTTCGTACCACGTAACTAATGTGGCACTCTTCAGCTAAAATAGCCCATGTTTGACCTCTAGCTTCTAACGAATGTTTTAAATATGTACAGATGGTAAAGGATGCTTATCTAATTACAGATCAATTAACACCTTAAGTAGTGTCACGAAATATTAGTATCAAGTTATAAAGTTTTTGGGTAGATATTGCGGTGCCCGTGCCAAGTTTGGCACCGCATTATATTCTGCCTGTTAGTTTGTTTGTTAGTTTGTTCGCATCAATACGTTTCCTTAATCGCCTTGTAAAAATTCCTTGCACGTGATCGAAATTTATTCATTTTTGGGGAAAATTAATTAATCTTGGACTCTCAGGACCGACTGTTTGCTGGGCTTTATCTCTGATTTTATGGCCAAACAAGGACAAAAATACCACTGTTCGAATCAGCGTAAACCTTTGTATTTATGAATGGGAAATTGATTTCAAAATTGATTTCTATTCCAGCGATTCATGGCTTTTGAAAGACAAGCCGCTCAAAATAATCCTTTCATGTTTTCTGAATTCCTTTTTTCGAGGAAAATTTTCTGTCCAATTAATCTCGGACTCTGCCTTATCTCTGGTTTTATGCGCCCGATAAGGACAAAAATACCACCGTTCGATTCAGCGTAAGAAATTGTACTTACGGATGTCAAATGTATTACTAAACAACAGTATTCTAGCGATTCATGGGCTTTGAAAGTCAAGCGAAATTGTATTGTTGACAAGTCACTTAAAATTATTAAACTAATTAAAAATGCAGTACGTTTGATCCTTAAACAACTTGGGTATCGTTGGTTTTCTCTTTTTGGCCGTCTACCAGTATATTCGTCTCACTTTTCTCTTCATTTTGATAGTATTTTGAGCCCAAAAAAATTTATTTTGAAGGCTTTAAAACGCAGTTTTGATCCTAACGTAGCCTAATTACGTACGGACCAACTGGCGGCCGACAGGAGAATGTTAGAATGTAGGCAATGTAGCGTGCTAAATACAGTGTGTCCCAAAAAAAAAGGCTACCCTTTGAAGTCAAGCGCTAGTGCCGCATGTTCGAATTTGAATGCTTTAACTCCCTAATGCAGGGGTTTCAGACTAAGCCGGCGGTGTTCCGCCGGCTACTTGAAATTTTACCGCCGGCTACTTTTCGTCTGGTCACAGGAAAAAATTATATACACAGGTACAAGCGAACCAACACTATGTTTGTTATGTTCCAATTGGAATTCAAGCAAAACATCACTTATTTTGGAAGATCAATAAGATCAATAATATATAGACTGCGAGCAATCCCTCTATTTTTCCTCTCGTCTCCGCCCCTTTTTGCCATTTTCCCGCGCGTTCAATCTTAGTCCGGGAAACAATAAAACGAAGGAAAATAGAGGGATTGCTCGCAGTCTAAATAATATATAGTACCAAACATAGCTTGCTTTCTAAGTTGGTGTCGAAGTGAATCTTCCTGGAAGATAACTCTGATGACTCTGACAGTGACTTAAGCATTGCCATTGGGGAATCCGAATTTGACAGTGAGCCAGAGAACCTTCAGAGCCACTTTGGTAAATGTTTTTGGCAAGTGACTAATTCTTGGACAACGAATTAATTATGATAAAGTGATGAAGTGAAAAACTCTGGGCTGTAGCGAGGGGGAGGGGGTTTACCCCCCCCCCAACTTTTTTAGAATTAACATATTCGGAAAATCGGGTTGCCCATTCGGAAAATTACGACAATAATAGTATAACAAAATTTTAGTTGTTAAACAGAGAAAATATAATATAATTGTATTGTCAGTATAAACTGATTTACAAAATCATGGCATTTACATGATATTAACATTTAACAAATCGTAAATCGGTAAATATGCATGCATACCTTTATCGTTATATAATATACCTTTAAAATACTGACAATTGATTAATTTTAAGCGGCTACATTATCCATGACAAACTGCAAAGCATCATATTACCCATACTTTCCTGCAACTTCTCCATGCAATATATAGTTAATTAAATACGCCTTCGCCCATTTAGTACTACTAAATTGTAAACAAATTGTAAATTTCGACATACTAAAACACTGTTTTCTGACCATCAGAATTCTGTTCTAAACTTCCCCAAAGTCCAGGAAATGGCATTTCAGAGACTCTAAATTAAGAACTTCCTACGGCATTGCATGCTACTCAGCTACTGTAATATGTCTGTGCGGAGAATATACATATTTTTGTTTGTAAATCGCGTCTTCATTTTCCGGACAGCAAACACCTTCGTGATTAAACTATTATAGTAGCACATTAAAGTACATTTTATTTGTCACTTACAAGTATAAATGCAAATGACATCTAAATCTAACAAGTGAACAGTTGTACTTTATCTTCTCACTTATTCTATATTATTTGATTGTTAATTTGCGCGCGAACATTTTTTTAATTTCCATGCGAGGGTACGCTCCCCCCCCTCCCTGCGCGTTTTTTTAACTATCAGTCACAGGCGGCTACTTTTTTGGTACAACCGCCTACTTCAAATCATTCTGAAACCCCTGCTAATGAGCCCTGCGTAAAACGTTATAGCAGAGCATTTTTATGCATGCATTGCAAATTGAAACTTTTCCCTAAAATAACACAGAATGGAATGCATGAATATACATGTATAACGTTTTACGCATTCCAGGGCTCATTAGGGAGTTTAAAGCATTCAAATTTGAACATGCGGCACTAGCGCTTGACTTCAAAGGGTAGCCTTTTTTTGGGACACACTGTACAGGGTGTCTCAAAAAAACCCAAAATCATTGAAATAACGTATTGTTCGAATTTCAATGCCGTAACACAAAGGATTTTGACAGGGTGATTAATTTGTTTTAAAAAATTAAAATATCTTTGTAAAGTGAACGTTTGTTTGCTCATGGGAATTTAAAAATGCTTCGTAAATTGTAAAAGAAATTACGGATTAACAAAAATGAGAACATTACAAATTATTCCTGTCATCACTTCGAGAGAAATGGTTCAACTAACGCCCGAACAAAGAGTTTTTGTCGTGTTAAATTATACGAGAACACAAAGTACGACACAAGTGCGAAACGCTTTTCGAGAAAGGTTCCCAAATCGCAATCCACCTGCGGCAAGCACAATTTTGGAAAACGTAAGGAAATACGAAAACTCCGGAACCAGTCTAAACCTCAATAAAGGCAATTCCGGCAGAAGAAGAACTACTCGAACTGCAGAAAACATTGACGCTGTTAGGGATATACTGCAGGAAAACCCTCACGTGAGTGCTCGTCGCAACCCTATTCCAATTTCTCGTGCAAGCTTTAACCGCATAACAAGGCAGGACATAAAATGGCACCCATATCGAATGCATGTACGACACGAATTGTTGCCAGCCGACTTTGCCCGTCGATTACGCTTTTCCGTTTGGCTTAACGAACGCTGCCGCCGAGAAAATTTCTTGGATAGTTTCCTTATCGGAGACGAAGCATCATTTGTAATGAATGGCGAAGTCAACACCCAAAACGTACGACTGCGTTTAATTTTGAAAGGAGCCATTCTCGTGAGCATCTGACGGTCTGGGCAGCGCTTTGTGGTAACGGAATGATTTTTGGGCCTTACTTTTTCGAACAGATGTCGTGAACGTTTATACAGTTACATTTATAGATCAGTAGTGTTAATATTATTAAGGAAATGTACAATTTGATTGACACTTCGGATATAGTACATAACATGTGAGCGAGCGTTGACTTTAGAACGGGAATTATAACTTAAACAAAACGTGATATTATAAAGTCTTTACTTCTTCGAACCGATTGTGGGAACCAAACTAAACTTCACCACAAAGTGGCACCTTCGACCGGGATTATTTGGACTTATAACTTGTGAATTTATCGGGAATTTATCGAGAGTTTATCGGGGTTTGAGGAAGTATTTTGACTACAAAATCGAGCTATGGTGACGAGACAACAAAGTCAGCGAAGAGATCTTGAAGCCCAAGACGAACAGCAATCGGGTTTATCCAAGGAAACTGAGTCGAAACTGGTTAACTTACAGTCTTTACTACGGAAATTAGCATATTTTAACCGAGCAACAGACGAGATTTTGAGAGTGAATTCGAAAGAGGCGATAATACGACAACAAACAACGCTAAAAACCAAGGTAAGCGAAGCGTATGGTTTGATTGAGCTTATACAATGCTTGAAAATCGATGCAGGCGAATCTGACGAAACTATTGACGAGTGGACAAGCGAAAATAATGGCAGATTACGTGAATATGAAGCGGCAATCGAAGAGTTAAATCGTAGGCTCTTAGACGAAGAGAAAATACAAAGGGAAATTGAGCGCCAAGAGAAAATTCGACAAGAAGTGGAAGCACGAGCTCTAATAAGACATGAGGAAGAACAGGCAGAATTTGAAAAGCGTGCAAGGGAGGAAAAGTTTGCATTATCTTTGGAAGAAAAGAAGTTGGAGATTGCTTCTGCAAAACGGATCAAAACAAAATTACCTGATCTGCAAATATCAAAATTTCAAGGAAGTCATTTGGACTGGGTGCGGTTCTGGGGTTTATTTGAGACCCAAATTGATAGAGCACCTATGAATGATGAAGCAAAGTTTGCATATTTGAAAGAGCATGTTGTATCTAAAGTTAGGGTTACAATCGATAAATTACCACCCAGCACCGAAGGGTATGCAAAAGCGAAAAAGATGTTAAAGGAACGGTATGGTGATACAAGTGAGGTGGTCAATGCACACATACAAGAAATTATTTCCCTACCTACCATTAATGGTGCTTCAAAACAAAAGATACATAACTTTTATGACAATCTTGTCGGACACGTTCAAGCGCTTGAAACATTCGGAAAACTAGGCGATGTTGCGGGAAATGTAAGGATGACATTGGATAAGTTGGAAGGGATTCGGGCTGACCTAACAAGAACCTCGCCAGAGTGGAAAAAGTGGACCTTCCCTGAGTTGGTTGAAGCATTGCGACAATGGATTGAGCGAAACACAATACAACAAAGTGAGAAAGATGCGAAGAAAGATGGATCACCATGGAAAGACGGTAGGAAAGATAGATTATTGTTAGCAAAGGAACAATCTAGACAGTGTGTGTATTGTGAAAGCAAAAGTCACAGATCGGTAGAGTGCGATAACGTTGTGAGTGCAAGTGACCGAAAGAAATTGTTAAGCAGCAAGCATCTGTGTTTTAATTGCACAGGCGAGAAGCATAGAGCAAGTGATTGTAGAAGTAGGATCCAGTGTTATAACTGCAAGCGAAGACACCATACTTCTATTTGTGATAAACTAGAAGATGGTCAAAAGCTGATGTGCCAACCCAATGGAAATGATGTTGTTTATCCAGTTGTTGTAGTCGAGATTGAAGGAGTTAAGTGTCGAGCACTTTTAGATACTGGATCTGGGAGCTCTTTCGCGTCAAGTACATTATTGAATACAATTGGAAAAAAGCCAGTGAGACAGGAATTTAAATCAATTGAGATGATGTTCCAAACTACAACAAGGAAAATTGATGTGTACGAAGTCGAGATTGCAGATGTTGAGGGAAAATTCACGATGCCATGTGAGTTGAACCGGATTGAGAAGGATGTGCTAATGACTTTGCCAAACCCCAGGTACAAGGAACTTATTAAAACTTATGAACATCTTCGAGGAGTCCATATGAATGACGGAGACGAGAAAGCACTTCTACCTGTTCACCTTAGGAGCCAGTGATATGTCCAGAGTCAAGACATCAGAACCAGCCAGGGTTGGAGACGATGGGATGCCAGTTGCCGAGAAAACCGCGTTGGGATGGACCATCATGTCACCGGGACGAGAGATGAATCATTCCTTCCTGATGTTCACCAAAAGCTCTCAAGAAGACTACATGCATCTTTGCAGCTTGGATGTGCTAGGATTAGAAGACCGTGCCGAAGGAGATCAAGGAAGCGTTTATCAGGAGTTTAAGGAACAGCTTACTAAGCGAGAAGACGGTCGACACGAAACGTCATTACCATGGAAGGCTAATCATCCAGAGCTTCCGACCAATTACCATGTTGCTAAGCGGAGATTTCAGTCATTATTCAACCGGCTTGATAAACAACCAGAACTGCTAGAGACTTACCACAGTATCATAGAGAATCAACTTGAGGAAGGAGTCATTGAAGTCGCACCAGAGAAAGCAGAGAGAAGCCGAGAGCATTATATCCCACACAAGCCTGTAGTACGAGAGCATGCCGAGTCTACGAAAGTAAGAATTGTTTACGATGCTTCGGCAAAAGCTGATGAAAAATCACCTTCGTTGAATGATTGCTTGGACATTGGTCCCCCACTCCAAAGGCGAATCCTAGATATATTATTACGCAGTCGAATGAGACCAATTCTCTTGGCTGGTGACATAAAACAAGCATTCCTACAAATTGTGATCAGGGAGATCGAGCGAGATGTAATGAGATTTTTATGGATAAATGATCTACAACGCAAAGAGATGATGGTCTATCGCATGACCAGAGCGATGTTTGGGCTAGGCCCAAGTCCATTTCTACTCGGAGGAACTTTGAATGTTCACCTCGAGAAGTATGCACAGCAATACCCACAGTGTGTTGAAGAATTGTCCGAAGGAACTTATGTTGATGATATAAACATTGGAGGTGACACAGTTGGAGAGACTAAAGTACTCAAAGAGCAGGCAAAAGAGATTCTTAGTGAGGGAAGTTTTATGTTGCACAAATGGCATTCTAATGCGGTGGAATCAGAGAGTGACATCGTGGAAGACGGCGAATCTACTTATGCCAAAGAAACTTTAGGAACTAAACCATCTGATACTAAACTGCTGGGGTTGGGATGGAACAAGGAGGAAGATACTTTGTTTGTAGCACTACCGAAACAGAATGTAGAAATGACCAAACGAACAGTCCTTCAAACAATGGCGAAACTGTATGATCCTCTGGGTATAGCTGCTCCGTATTTACTCACGGCGAAAGTAATCTTCCGGGACGTTTGCGATCGGAAACTTGGATGGGACGTTGAGCTGCCCAAAGATCTTAAAAGCCGATGGGAGAGATGGTTAGACAGTCTGCCAAGTGTGTAACCTTCCCAAGAAGCATTCCTCGAGAGAGAGCATCAATTACCGAGATTCACATTCATGGGTTTGCCGATGCCAGCATTCTGGGATGTTGTGCTGTTATCTATGTAGTGGCAAAGCAGGGTGAACTAGTTTCTCGAGGTCTGCTGGTATCCAAAGCACGGTTGGCGAAACGCGATTTAACAATTCCTAGATTGGAACTTGTCAGCTGTCATATGGTCAGCAACCTTATCCACAATACCAAAAAAGTTCTTAGTTATCTTCCAGTGATGGGTGTTTATGCGTGGACTGATTCAACCGTTTGTCTACAGTGGATTAACGGACAGGGTAACTACAAGCAATTTGTGTCGAATCGCGTGAAAAAGATTAACGAGGAGAAAATTGAGTGGAGATATGTTCCAACTCAACAGAACCCTGCGGATATCGGTAGTCGAGGTACAACGAGAGATCTACAAGTCAACGAAACCTGGATGAACGGTCCTGATTGGTTAAGTGAGCCTGCGAAATGGCCGGAGCAATTACAGATCAAACCCAGCGAAAAATCTGAATTCGAAAGTCGAATGGTTAAAGAAGTGATGAAAGTTACCATTCCGAAAAAAGCTGATTTTGTCGATAGTCTGTTAGAGAAATTCCAGCTGTCAAAAACAGTACGAGTTTTAGCATGGGTTAAGAGATTTATTGACAACCTGGTGTATGGCAAGAAAGTCAATGGGCCATTGGCAACCAAGGAAATGCAGAAGCAGATGCAGTTCCTGATTAAACGAGCACAATCTGAAAGCGAAATACTTGAGAACTTCAAATATGATTCCACCAGATTAAATCTTCAAAAGAACGATGAAGGAATATACGTCTGTAAAGGAAGAATCCAAGGCGAATATCCTGTGTATCTCCCAGCAAAACATGTTTTATCCGAAATAGTTGTAAAGCAAGCCCACGCGAAGACTCTGCATGGGGGAGTTGGTCTGATTATGAGCAAAGTTCGTGAAGAATACTGGATTCCAAAGCTACGAACTCTAGCTAAGAAAGTCCTCAGCCATTGTTATGGATGTAAGCGGTTCCACACAGCACCAGAACCTAGCCCACCTCAAGGTAATCTCCCGAAAGAAAGAACCGAAGGCATGACGCCATTTGATGTAGTAGGTGTGGATTACGCTGGACCTATTTATTACCGCAGCAAGAAGAACGAAGATAAGTCGTACATCCTCATCTACACATGCTCCTTAACACGAGGACTCCACCTGGAACTTTTACCGAATTTAAGTTGCGAAGAGTTTCTAACAAGTTTCAAGAGGTTCGTTGCAGTCCGAGGACGACCGAAGAAGATGATCTCAGATAATGGGAAAACTTTTCATGCAGCGTCAAAGTGGATTAAGAAAGCAACCTGAGATGAAAAGTTCCACGCGTTTCTGCAAGATCATAAAATCCAGTGGCAGTTTAACTTAAGCAAGGCCAGCTGGTGGGGCGGCTTGTTTGAAAGAATGGTTGGACTGATGAAGAATTCGCTTTACAAAGTTGTTGGTTCAGCTAAACTCACTTACAAAGAGTTGCAAGATGTATTATTGGACATACAAATAGTACTGAATAACCGCCCTTTAACGTATTGTGAAGATGACGTGCAACTTCCGGTTCTCACACCAAACCTCCTGATATTGGGAAAAGCAAATTATCTATGAGAGTTGCCTGTCGAAGAAATTGAAGAAGACGATCTACGAAGGAGAGCAAAACATTTAAAGAAGTGTAAAGATGCGTTATGGCGTCGTTGGCGAAATGAATACATGAGAGCACTTCGAGAGAGACACGATTTACGACACCACGGGAAAAGCGCACGATTGCAAGAAGGCGATGTAGTTCTTATCAAGTGGCGATGAAAAGAACCGAGGCAAGTGGAAGATTGGAATCGTGGACAAACTAATACCTGGAAGAGATGAAATCGTGAGAGCGGTGAGACTGCGTGCAGGAAAGAGTTACCTCGAAAGACCTATTCAGTTTCTATATCCAATGGAGTTATACTGTGAAGCGAAGAAACAAAATCAAGGAGAACTGAATCCCGAAGCCAGAGAGTTTAGACCAAAACGAAGAGCAGCGGTTGAAGCATTAAGGAATATTCATCAGATGCAGGAGACTGAAGAGGACGGTGACTAATAACTTTGCATGGGTATAAGTAAAACTGTAAGTGACTTGATAAAGCGAACAACAGTTAGTCAAACTTAGTCAGTTTATATTTCAAATAAGGATTATTTAAAATAGGGGGAGTGTGTCGTGAACGTTTATACAGTTACATTTATAGATCAGTAGTGTTAA